ATTTGAATTCATCCGTGTCAGAGTTTGACTTTAATGACCTCTAGTGGTGATATCAGAAAATACACTGGAGCAAATAGTACTATGACCTACATTCCACTACAGGACTTCTCACTGCACCCTTCAAATTTTTCCCAAAAAAAAAGACCACGCCTTCAGTTTTATGTTTTGATTCCTGAAAAAAAAAAACCTTAAAAAACTCTCCACACAGGAACTTCATGTTATGATATTTATAATACTTTATATGCTTTGTAGCGTGTACTCACAGGGTGTGATCTGTTTCAAGGTTGGTATAAAATCAATATTTCACAAGCTAATCAGAGAGTGACGTTTCAGTGTCTTTCTTGTTAATCATCAGGCCAACCCATCTATGACTGCGCAGACCGGATGTGCACCACTGTTGCCAAAACTCCACCTCTGACCACCAATGGAAAAATCCACAATGACACAGGAAACCGTGTTTTACAAATGAATCACACTTGTCTTGATCAGCTTTTAAAAAGGTCAGACTACAGTACAGTTTACTTGAACCACCTTAATTCTATTATTCACACTAATCAAAATCTTCTTTTTGTTTTCAGGGTACAGATATGTGCAGCACTCTGGATGACGTTGCTGCGTTGGTCTTCTTTGGTGTTCTTACTGATATTTCTGTGCATAGTCTTTAAATGTACCAAAACAAGACACAGAAAACGTCCCAAGAGGAAGAGAGCGGTTCATTTCAAGCAAGTTCCGCACTAGGTTCAGTGACCTGCATTATTCAGAAGTAGGTGTTTGGAAGTCAGATTGGAAATTTGACGTTTGTCTTTGGTGCAGAACCAAATACAAATCCTGATCCGGTGAATACAAATGTGTTTTCAGGAGGCGATAAGTGACATCCTAGTTATTTTTTATTTCCGTGTACATATTTCTAAATACTGTTTGTGCCACATTCAAATGACCTTTGACCACTGAAAGTTATCAATTAATCTTTGAGTCCAAGTGACAGAGGCCAAAAACCCGAAAATGAAAAAGGATTCGTATAGGAGAAATAAACAAACGTAGTCGTACAGACAGTATTGAAACTTCAAAACAATTTACATTGTCTCTGCCATTCCTAGAATAGACTTTTCATATGGGGCACCAGTAATTAAAGCACTGGCGTTATCATGTGGGTTATAATTTTGCATATATTTATATGTTGTACTATATTTATATTGTGTTTATTTCAAGTTATTTATAATGAATGATTAATACGATTATTCATGCAAAAAAATACTACTGCCAATGAAACTATTAATGAGGAAATTGAGATAAAAAAAAGAGTGATTTGTGATTACTGCTGAATATGAGTCATTTTTCACAGTTTTCTCAGATTGATATTAAAAATAAATGACCAACAGATCACCACATCAGGCAGACGTTAGCACAAACGTAAAGGAAGTTGAAGGTTTAGAGAATTATAGTCCTCTTTTTATACACAGGGTTTTCAGATTGTGTTTTATGCTGTAGTGTGATATAAAATCTACTTAATATACCTCATAGACTGTCCTTTCATTCATTCATTTCTGGTGTCAAAGCTATTCCATTTGTTTGATATTCAATTGAGAGCAAACATTCTGAGCACAGCTTCCTCACCGGATGGGAGTGCAGCTGGAATGTTAATAATCAGGTTTACTGGATTTTTGAAATGTTGACATTTCTTATGGTCTCTGTGGTCTCAAAGGGCTTGTTCACATTTTTAATTCACTCATTATATCCACTCACCACTTCGCCGACGGAGGGAGGATGAAAGTGTTTGATGCCACAAAATACTTGATTTGAACGTATACTTGTAATTTAGGTTTTAACAAAATATCCTCCGACCACTTCTCTGTCACTTTTTTAATTTTTCAACTGCAAGTTATTTTAACACACATGTCGCAATTAAGCTTCCTCGTGAACCGCAGAGATTTTAAAAGAAACACACACACACACACACACACACACACACACACACACACACACACACACACACACACACACACAAAAGAACAGTTTGCACAATCGCAGTTCTTATTTTGTATTTTGATGCGACCCACGTGTTGAGCAAAGGGCGCACACTTCCGCATTCAGAAAGCCACGCCCTGTGTTTTCACGCTTATCGCGTGAGTCCTGACAGTCAGTCCGCTGCCTCTCCCCGCAGAGACAGCACCAGCACCGGCCTCCTCCTCCTCCTCCGCGACTCTCCTCATCCCGCTGGGTAAGTGTTACCCTCTTTACCAAACCAAAGTCACCGGACGAACAGAAAACAACACGGTGACATCACCACCAACGCGATTTAAACCACGTTTCACTCGCGAGGCGCTGGTGCGTTAGATAGCTAGCTAGCCAGCCAGCTAGCTTGTTTGCTAGCTAGCTCACCCCGACTGACACTTACACGCCGCTACGCATTTTTACGTGAATCTCACGTTTGGTTTCCTGTCAGCTGTTTCAGACACTCGGCTGAACACACCGACCGCACCCAGGATCTGCCGCGATATTCGGCGCACATCCTGTTTCTTAAATCGCCAAGATAAGAGTCGATCATCACGTAGTTAGCTTCACCAAGACGCCATTAACCGATGTGTTTTGAATGAGGAAACCGAGGGACCCAAGTTTGTTTGACTGTAATGTCGTCTTTTTTTAATTCATATCGTAACTAAACCCACGCCGAATCCCCCCCATCGCTACGGACAACGTGTTTAAAAACCTCGGTAGGACCAGACCAGACACACACAAGCGCCGTCACGCTGGCTGATTTAAAATCGTCATATTTTGTATGGTCTTTGGCGCGAGAGGGTGTGTTTACCCAGATGACTTCCACTGAGAGACCCTTGCTAATTCACCCACGTTTCTTCCTCCATCAGAAATTGTGACTTGTCCCGCTTCGTCATGGATCTCACATCTGTCCCTGTCCTGCTCGTGCTCGGCCTTGTCGTCGCTGCCCAAGGTCAGTGTGGAAACTTCAATGAGTCAGACACTCGGAGCCAACGTGAAGGCACCGTGGAGCCAAGCGGCCCCTTGTGTTGGGTCACGTACACAGACTTCAACTTTCATTGTTTCAGTCACTGTGCTGTAAAATGACATCACATTGGATATCAGCCTAGTTAGAGACTGGACGAAGAGGGGAGCATTTATCAGATTTATTGTTTGTTGTCATGTTGTCCTGCTCCGACTGTCAGACAAACTGGATTCCCCTGTGCTTTCACACACGACGGCTCAGTGTTGATTATATCTTTTTCATCATCTCCACCATGAAGAGCAGAAACATTTAGAGAGTCACAGAGTATAAATTGTAAATGGTCTGTGTTTACATAAAGCAGTTTTGCAATTCACAATCACTCTCAACTCAAACAAGAACAGCTGAAGGTTACAGACTCCAGTTAAAACGGCTGGCAGCTGTAGTGTAATCCAGTAATTTCAATGTCTGTGACGTTCAGTATCTTGTCCGAGGTCACTTGGTCATGCAGGATGGTTTTCTCTACTCAGCTATATTATAAATGAGCAATGTATTTCAACGTTGAAATAAAGGTTGAATAAACTTTCTGTCTTTCTTTTCCCATTATAGCTCAAAACTGTACCAAACCTTTGGGCGGACCCAACATGAGCTTGAAGGGCGATGACATTCTTTTAGATGCGTTCCCGGAGGGCGCTAAGGTTTCTTTCGCCTGTGATGTTGGCTACGCGTCTGCAGGAGGGTCCTCAACCATCACCTGTACACAGGGCGGCTGGAGTCTCGTGAGGATGAAATGCGAGAGTGAATATCAGGACTTGATTTTTACATACACGTTACTAACATCAGGCAGTATGACCATGTTCAGCCCTGGTATAAATATTCTAATAGTTATTATAATCTGATAACAAGTGGTCTTGAAGTAAGTGTGAACGCACACAAATGTGTCCTTAATGCATTCTGATCACCCAGACCACATTTAGAGGAGGCCCGGGACACGTGGCCACTTTTCACTCTGTGAACGTAAATCCATCCGCGGCCAAAACTGAGTTCACTACGATGTCACAATGAATCAAACATTTTGAATGCCTCTCAGTGAGTGTCCATGCATTGATCATTTCATCAAAGTATCAACACATTATGATTGATGCTTTTCTTAAATGGTTGCAATCTTTTTCATTCCCTGATACACACACAACTATCTGAATTGAATCATCTTTATACTCGGACTGGGTAAAAACAATAATCTGGTCTCCGTAAACACAAATTAGGTGCTTGATTGTTTGCATATAGAGCAGGGAAGCGCTCACAGGAGACACATTCAGGACGGATCTTGATGTCATGTGTGAACAGACGCAATTGTGATTGAATCTCTCAGGACAAACTTTAATACCAGGTATAAACAGGGTCTGTTTTACATTCAGTTTTGGCAGCACTGTCTGAGATGGAACCATTTAGTAAATGATGCCATACCAACATATAAATGGTCTCTTCGATGAGTCACTGGTAATATGTAGTGACCAACCCCGCTGAGTTATTTGTGCATAGTGTTACCAAATCATTTTATAGGGTGGACTTTAATCTTTACAAACGTTTTCTTTCTTTCAGGAAAGGAATGTGGCTCTGCTGGAGAAGTTGCAAATGGAGAGATTGATTACTCTGAAGGGACTCAGTTTGGCGATAAAGTTGTGATCACATGCAACAGAGGGTTAGTATTAAACTAATGATGCTCCTGTCAAACGTAAATCTTTCATAAATATTTGTGGTCTGAAGTCAAACTCCCCCCCCCCCCCAATCTAGTTACAATTTGGTTGGCGCAAGGGAACTCGTGTGTGGAGACAAAGGGTGGTTGAACAGGTTGCCAACATGTGAAGGTTGGTCATTTGTCTTCGTTTTGTTTATACAAAAAAAAACTTTACGAGACACAGAAAAACTGTGTAAAAAGGATTTAAATTCTAAAAGGTGTCATTTTTATTTTGCAGCAATTACTTGTCAACCGCCACCTATGATTCAAAATGGCAATTTCCGTCCAATGGAAGACCACTACACATTCACTGAGGTTGTAAACTACGCTTGTGAAAAGCTTTATTCACTTGATGGTTCGAAATCAAGTGAATGTTCAGAGGATGGGAGATTCAAACCTGATCCTCCAACGTGTGTCAGTAAGTGTTTTTTTTTTTATTTTTCTCAAGATTCTCCAACTTAATCTCAGCTGAGACTCTCACTAATACTCTGTATTGCTTTCCATCTTCTTTGCCAACAGTGGTTACATGTGACGACCCTGTTATTGATAATGGTTTCTGGGCTGGGGGTTCTCGACCCCCCCATGGATACATGGCTAGTGTGACGTTCCAGTGCAAACCTAAGTACAAATTGATTGGAGAGCAGATGCAGACATGTAACATAAATGGCAAATGGTCACCTGGACTTCCAACATGTAGTTGTAAGTTTTATGTGCATGTGTGTTTATGCTAATTTCATATTTAATCTCATTCCTATGTGTGATTAACTATTTATACAAATTAGGGAATATTTTCACTGTCTTTTTTTCCCTCAACTATTAGTACTAAACGAAACTCCAGGATAGTTCAATAGAATTAATCCCTAATCTTCTCCCACTCTGTTGGTCAAGTAGAGTTTGCGAATACGTCTGTATGATACGATGTTCTTTTTTGATCAATGTCAGTAATCATCATCGACCCCAAGACCACCACCACCGCCGCCGCCACCACCGCCGCCACCGCCGCCACCGCCGCCACCACCACCACCACTACTATTTCTACAGAAACAGGTAGAGTCTCTTTTGATGAACTTGCTTTGCTCAAATGGTAATCTAATAATCTATAATATCACTGGATTTTGTTAGAGGAAACAACAGTTGAGTGATCCTAGTGATTGTTGGGAACAAGTACAATCAAACCTTTATTTTCACAGCGTTTTGCAACATCTACACATAACGGGGCTTACCAACTGCTTGATCATAATCACACACCATGCTAGTGTAAATGGGAAAAAAGGGATGAAATAGTATATGAGCAACTCATGTAAACTTCATAATCGAGCCACAAAAGGGAAACATAACAACAACAGAAGTGAGCAACAGCGGATGTTCACAATGAAACCAGCAGAGTTACTTATCGATAACTGTTAAATTGGGGTACAGGTGCATTCTTCTCTTTGGATGCTCCAAGCACAAGTATCACAACACCCACTTTTCAACAGCAGCTGGCTTGACCACAATAATTGACTCTTAACTTCAACATCCTTGTTACTCACTTCAGTTGTAGTTGGGTTGTGTGGCAGTTGTGGTTGTGTTTTCACTTCTGCATTCAGGTTGTGGCTGAAGAATTTCTGTGTTAGATGCCGCTACGTTTGTACAACGGCCATTGCTTCACACTTAACCTCAGAATTTCGTGAAAATATTTACTTCTGACTTTATATCTCTCATTCAGCTGATCCTAAAACAACTAAGATACCTGGTAAGTCATCAAAAATCTGTTTTATTACATTCATTAAATCAATTAATCTCTGTCCTCTTCCATGATCTCAACCCCCCCACCCCCCCTTTTTTTTATCTACAGAGAGTGGAGGTAACAGCTTCAAGCAGTACGGACTTCCAATTCTGAGTAAGTTTCCACTTGAGTCTTGAACAGTAGGTGAAGAAAGTAAAGAGTTAGTGTTGATGCAAAAAGAAGATCACGATGGCCTCAGAGGAACGGGGGGGTCAAATTATATGGAATTCTTTTAATTCAATTCAATTAAATTGGGTTAGCGCCAAATCATAACATTCATTATCTCAAGGCACTTTACACAGAAGGTCGAGACCTTAAAAAATTACAGAGAAACCGTTTCCATAGTGAGCTGCACTGTGAAGAGAAAAGATAGAGAGATGATGTTTTCATTGTGATTAAAACGATAACAGT